CGGCCGGAAGCAGGGGGCGGGGCTTCGTCATGTGCCCCCCCGTACCTCACCCGGGGGAACTGCGATCCCCCCCGAAATGACCTCTGGATGAGACTGAAAATATCATTCCCCCCCTTTTATACACGATTCCTGAGTGCCTCCTAAATCAGTCATGCCAATGAAGCCCAGTTCAAAGATTAATGGCCTAATATTAGGATTCCATGTCTAAAGCAAAACACATCCATAAGTGCAAGAGTTGCTGCACTAGGATAACCAAGGCAGTGATAGACATTCTTTCTGGACCCCATTACTTGATGTGGGTGGAAAAATACCTGTGCTATCAGAGAACTGCAGGATATTCCAACCTAGATGCTCACATAATTGCCCATAATGCTCCTTGACTGAGGATACAAACCTGGTGCTATCAGCAACAACACGGGCTTTCAGGAAAGTTGCCTTCTTCAGTATAGGCAACACTGTAGTGACAGGTCACCCACTTTGATCTCTGTACTCTACGCTGCTGACCTTCAGCTAGCCCCAGACCATCAGCTGCCTTTAGCCTTCCCAGCTCCCAAAGCCTTCTTTCCTTTCAAGCCTGAGCACATGGTAGACCCTTCCTTATAGGATCTGTATGGTCACGGGCCACAAAGGGAGCAGAAAGAAAATTATTTGAGAATTCACTGAATAAAGGATCTACCCAGCTAAACTCAAGCTATCCTAGACCACATGATGTCAGCTCTCTTCCACTTGTTCACATGCTTGCTGGCACACAGCGTATCTTTGTACACAACAGTGTGATTGCACAGTAAACTCAATTAATAATGCCTTGGTTACCAAGAATACATTTTAAATACTTTTAATTCATAATTTTTCATAGTTTAACATTTTTCACACCAAGCAAAAATAATTGCTAGCCCATGCCATCTTTCCTCAATAATAAATAATTTTGAGTAATACTATGTAATGTGTCTATATAGTAAAGGTTGAGATGCATACTGGTAATTAAATGATAAGAAGGGGGAAGAACAGGCATGTTGATTAGTTCCCTAAATAATTCCAAGCAGTTCTGCCTGATATAAGAACATAAGAACATAAGAGACGCCAATGTTGGATCAGGCCAAAGGCCCATCCAGTCCAACACTCTGTGTCACACAGTGGCCAGAAATACCAGTGCCATCAGGAGGTCCAGCAGTGGGAGACTACAGTACTTACCTTCTTTTCTGCATGGTCTCCTACTAGAAACAAATGAATGTATGGCACGATTAACTAACATGGTCAAATCTCTAGCTACAAATCCGTCTGTTTCCTTAGCAATTTGAAGAAGATCTAGATCACCCAATCTGTCCAGGTTGGAATTAAGTTTATTTTTCATTATGGAATTAAGTATTTCACGCCTTTGCCCCTGGAAACAGAACACACCACAACTTTATCTGCAATCCAACAACAAAGAACTGAACAAAGGCAAGGAGAAAATAACTACATTTCAAAGCCATTCAGAAAGACTAATTCTGAAAAAAACGGATGTGTCAACTTTAAATATGAACACTGATCACAGTAACTTCTTTCCGTGATGTCAAGCAAGTGGAACCATAGTGTCTGTCCAATTTTCAAACACAACTTGAGGCTCCTGTTTCGGTAAGGCCTTGGCAGTTAATCTTCATGCAAACCAGCCAACCATGCAATCCAACAACAAAGAACTGAACAAAGACAAGGAAAAAATAACTACATTTCAGCGCCATTCAGAAAGACTAATTCTGAAAAAACCGGATGTGTCAACTTTAAATATGAGCATTGATCACAGTAACTTCTTTCCCTGATGTCAAGCAAGTGGAGCCATAGTGTCTGTTCAATTTTCAAACACAACTTAAGGCTCCTGTTTCGGTAAGGCCTAGGCAGTTAATCTCCATGCAAACCAGCCAACCGCAGCAGTGTTTGGAGAACTTATTTATGCCAGCTCTACCTCTCCAGAGCATGCACTTGCCATGAGCTAGGTAGAACCTTTGTGTTACAGCTACAGACCCCTGCCCCCAGCCTCAGAATGGCCAGTCAGAGACAGAACTCTCTTCTCAGAGTGAAGAGTATGAGGTAGGAATGAGAAAGGACTGATTTTGAAAGAGAGAGTGTGTGGAAGCATGGTGTAAGAAAAGGATATTGAATGAGCTATGTGAGCTTTCATGGCCTGTGGGAACTGGCTTGTTTGAGTGGAAGAAGGCACAGGAAGTGAACAGAGCTGCCATTGCTGAATGAAAGAGGTGGGTTTGACTACATACTAGGTGTCAGTGGAGGCACTTACCAAGAGTTGGAGGCAGCAGGTGCATCCCTTTTTCACAAGAACAGAGAGGTGGCCTATGTCTGAGTTATCCATGAAGGCAATCAGCAAAGCTGTTTGCGACTCTGCGTGGATCGCATTCCATCTACGTGATCCGAGTTACTCACCTTCTCTGACTTACACAGTACTTTAATTTGGTTACCACTGTGCCCTGTGAATCAGGACAAGCTGATTTCCCCATCCCCCCACCCTTTCCCATTAACCTTTCTTTTTCTTACTTAAAAATGATCTTCAGTTAATTACAAGATGTTATGCACTGCCTGGTGACAGGAGTCAGTAATTCAAGCCCAGCTGAGTTCTTCTGGCTATTGAGGAGTGTATTGGTTTAAGATAAGGCAGTTTATCACTTCCTCCACCTTTCTTTTCAGATTTCAACAAATAACATATTTGTTATTAATAAACTAGTTGAGTTATTTGGCAAATAACCTGAAGCATCTATGGAAGAAGGGGTGTTCCCAAGCTAGCCCATTACTGGCTGAAGCAGCCAGGTGAGCTGGGGAAGGGACGCCCTTGGGGCTGAGCAGCATCAACCAGTCTTTTAGTTGCCTTTAGCAGCATGTGGGATGAGAGAGTTGCAGTATAGTGGCACGAGATCTCTTGGTAAAGTCTGGATGTGCAGGCTTGGATAAAGGAAGGCAGCCACAATGCTGATCCACATTAGATGCTGTTAGCAATGACTTGTACGTAAAAGTAGGAGATGATCCATACACGAAGTCTCATGTCCTCATTTGAAGTTACAGTGAAGCATTTCACCACACATTTTGTACAGTGACCAATGCTCCCTCTTAAACTGTGGAGTCTTGTGAGCAAAAATTCTACTTTGTGAGATACTGGCATTAAAGTTGGGAGCGAGCAATTTGGCTACTGCATAAATTAGTTTGCTCTGGAGCCATCCTTCCTGAGCTAAGACAAAAATGTGTGAGCCAGAGGCTAAAAAACTGTGAGCTAGCTCACACTAACTCAGCTTAGAGGGAACACTGACAGTGACCTCAAATTACTCGAGAAAAAAATCCAACTGGTTTTAAATAACTTCTAGGAGAAGTTGCTTAGTCCAAATTGGGTTACATTTACCTGATTTGGAGCCTGGATACGTTGGAAGCATTGAAATATGTGATTTCCTTGGGCAGAAACTATGGAAGGATGTAGTAATTGTTCAGATGGACTTGTGGCAATCAGTGTAATCAAACTGCGCGTGCAAGTTGCTTCCTTTATCAAATCTTTCAATACTGGAAGCAGAAAAACAAATGAGCTCAACTTTGAACCATCTATACACTGATGAGCACATAAATTAACATTTGCATCTGTTTTCCTTGTTTCACAGAAACGTAACTATCTTTTTCAATGCTTTGTTTGTTTCAGTAAAATATGTTTCACGTGGCATGATGTGTCAACAGTACATGGAGAAAATATAATTCTTTTCTATATCTAAAACTAGTTATATTCTCTGTAAGGCAGAATCTTAACTCTGCAACAAAAACAGAAGCCATTCTAACATAAAACAAAACAGACGAGATGGATCCAGAAAACCACAAGTGAGACCCTATTCACAGAAGGGATCTTTGCCATCTTTCCTTTCCCCACTGCATCCCCTTGGCACGACCATTCTTATAGCCACTCCTGAGGGTTAGGGAATCCTTGGGAATGGCATGGGTAACTACAGATAGAGGGCAGAGCTTGCATGACAGCAAAAGCTCTCACAAGATGGGATCAGATTCCTAACAACTCCCATTTCCCATGCCAACTGCTCTGTGCCTCACTCCACTGTTCCCGAGTGTCCCAACCTTCAAGAGTAGCTGTCCCAGACTGCAGTGGAAAGGGGAATGCAGCTAACGTCCACTTTGCAAGAAGAATTCTGTTCAAGATTCCCTCAATACAAGCCCTTGTACAAATTATTGTGTATTAATAATACAGGGCATTGAATTGTGCTGTTTCCTGTAGCAGCTGACAAAAGTTGGTTCAACTAGGGTTGAACTGTATTACTACTGACTTCTGCAAGAAAATACAGATCAAGGAACATCAAATTGTACAGATAAGGCAGCAGAAATCGGTACAATAACAGATATTGAATCTGTAACTCGCAAACTCATTCTATCATAATTACTGTAGAAAAGAGCAAGAGTCCAATAGCACCATAAAGACTAACAAAATTTGTGGCAGGGTATAAGCTTTTATGAGTTACAGTGACTCTAGAAAATTCATAACCTGCCACAAATTCTGTTAGTGTTTAAGGTGCTACTGGACTCTTGCTCTTGTCTACTGCTACAGACAGACTAACTCGGCTACCCATCTTGATCTATCATAATTACTGTTGATTTAAGGGGCAGCCGAAATTTTACACTGATGAACTGTCAGAAGAAAGGACAAGAAAAACTATTCAGGCATTGGTTGTCAAATATAAAATGTTTCAGATATAAAAATTCATGCAACAGTTGATGAGCAGCAGTTCTAAAAACAAAACAGAGGGGAAGCAGGTTGTTACCATGAGCGAGGCGAGTGCTCTGTACTGCTTCAGGACTGTTCTCGTGTTCTGGAGTAAGGGGAATCCCAACCATGTGATCAAGATCATCTAACAGAATAACTGATGGCTGTCTCCAGACTGCCTCCAGAAATGCCTCTTCCAGTTTCTTTCGTATGTTTTCTAATCTTTTCCCTATAACAGAAAGATACTGTAACCAGAACAGAGATAAAATTATAGGGCTTCCGATATGGTTTTGCAAGATCAAGAGGATAACCCAGACCAGGGGTGGTCAAGGTTGCTTAATGCGAGAACCACAAAGAATAAATTTCAGATGTTTGACAGCCACAAGATACGAACAAATATTACACACACTTTTTATTGAAAAATATGCAAATTTGCTTTTTATTAACTTTAAATGAGACTGTCAAAAATAAAAACAAAAGAGGGAAAAACAGATATTGATAATAATATTTATTTGTCCAGTAATATTTGTTTGCTAATGATATTTATTTGTCTAAAAGAGAGAGAGGTGGAAGGAGAGAGAGAGAGAGACAGACAGACAGACAAAGAAAGCAAATAGATGGGGGAGGGAGGGGGAAGGAAGGAAGAGAGAGAAAGAAAGGAAGGGAGAAAGAGAGAAAGAAAGGTGGAAAGAAAGCAAACAGATGGGCAGGGAGGAAAAAAAGAAAGCAAATAGATGGCTTGGAGAAGGGATTTAAAGAGACAAATGCCTTCTCCAAGCTGGGGGGGGGGGAGAGACTTTGAGAATGCATTTACTGTTGCTTTCCTTCTCTGCTACCCCCCACACACCTCAAGCCTACCTGGGGAGGGGAACACTAGCTGGGGAAGGGAAGACCAATCAGGGAGGCATGCCTTCCATTCACTTCCCCAGCTGCCCTGCCGGGAGCCACACAATGTGTGTGAAAGAGCCACATGTGGCTCCCGAGCCACAGTTTGGCCACCCCTGACCTAGACTGATATGATTCTACCCCACATTCTGGTTGCACCAGAGACCCAATACTATCCTATTATGGAATTATTTCTTAGGATTCCCCCCACTTCTTTCTCCATAATACATAGGAAGAGCTGGTGCAGCACAGCAACAAACAGGCTGAGGTACAACTGAGGAAAACCCTGGTTCAGGTCTCATTCCTGGTATGAATTATTTCACCTTAAGCAACCTCTGATCGCTGCCTCAACTCCTTTGAACGCCTTTGCAATATGGGGCTAATAATACTGGTCTATCTGACAGGACTGTAGTAAGGATTCATGTACATGAAGCATTCTGAACAATCTAAGGGCCTATATAAATATTAAGTAGCATTCAGCTCACATTATGATATGGACAGCAAAGGGAAAGACAGGGGAGCTAGTTTTATCTGTTGCAATGACACCAAGAGAGATTGGGGTTTTTTGGTTTATTATTAAAAAATGGGATAAGATGGAGAGAGCCCTCCAGTTGACACTAAATGACATCACAGGCACAAACTAAGTCAGATATTCCCCAATATGGGGATGAGGACAGAGAAAAGGCTTTGCTGTTCAAAAAGGAGATTCTTACAGAGGAAGGACCCCAGCTAATCACATACTCACACAGAGTATAGCAGTTGCAAGATTTAAGATGTGAAGATTAAAGCTAGTGTAGCGGGCTGTACAGAGGGCTGTGCTTGGAAATGAAAGCTTCAAGTTCCCTGCTAAATTATGATGCTCAGAGAGTGCCCTTGAGTAAAACTCTTCTTTCTTATATTAACTTAATTTTTACAGCTGCAGTTGGAATTTGAGAAACAACAACAACAACAACAACAACAACAACAACAACAACAACAAGAGATTGGATTTATACCCCGCCCTTCACAACCCAAAGGTGTCTCAGAGCGGCTTACAAACTCCTTTCCCTTCCCCTCCCCACAACAGACACCCTGTGAGGTAGGTGGGGCTGAGAGAGCTCTTGACAGAAACTGCTCTTTTTCAAGAACAGCTCTTATCAGAGCTATGGCTTGCCCAAGGTCATCCAGCCAGGTGCAAGTGGAGGAGTGGGGAATCAAACCCGGTTCTCCCATATTAGAGTCCGCACACTTAACCATTACACCAAACTGGCTCTTTGTATGCTGACAAGTGCAGCACAAAGGGCATAAATGGTACTCATACCTTTTAAAGCTTTACAGTCAATTACTTCCACGTGAGCATCCAGTCTATCGAAGGCTTCCTTGCAGAGGGCCTTTGCTAAAGTTGACTTGCCACTTCCCTATAAAATAAATGGGGGGATGCATTAAACCTTATAAAACGAACAAAATAAACGAATATATTTTTCCTATGGATTCTTTTTGCTCTGAAAAAACATTCAGAGAACAAAAGCCATCAGGAATTTGTTGCAGACAACTGAGAACTGTAACAGGAGCCTCGAACCCCTGGAGCAACACTGCTGTATCTTCAGCAGAGGATTCACCTGACTAAGTAGTGCTCAGGTGCTAGATATTTTCATCCAACCAAATTCTGTTATTAGGTACAGCTGCACTACAACCTACTGTGCCCATTTGTGTATAGCCAGGTTCATGGTACCAGAAGAGCCAGAAAGCTTTAATTTTCCTCAATACATGCAAACAGTTAGTTGCTACAGATGGAAAACTATCACACAGATGGACTATAGGAAAGGGGGGGGGAATACGTTATATACGCACACTTTAAATGGTTGCATAAATCACTAAAACATATTGTAGCATATCATTCTACAGCGGCAAAAAGAATAAATCGTATAATTCAAGGTATCATTTAATTTGTATTCAACCATTTCATGGAGCAGATGAGAAATGAGTGTTTGGGCATCTAGAAGAGATTAATTATAGAAACCATTGTTTCTTAGAAGCTTATATGTTGATAAAAAATATTCACCTTTGCTCCAGTAACCAGGATACCACCACTGCGCAGCCCTACAGATACGGTGGCTAGCTTTTGAGAAAGTGGTCGTCCCAAAAGGCTGTGTGATATGTGGTTAAACAACGATAATCCTAGTTTATCTACTCCTCTGAAAAACAAGATTTAACAAAAACAGAATGCCTTATCTCCTAATAATATAAAATTAAGATGAGCTATTTGATAAAACTTTTTCTGAATAGTCCACTTAAATGTTCTGGAAAGGCACCCAACCAATTCAGTTCTGTCAGTTATAACCTCAATAGTTGTGAGAATTGCAGGGGAAAAAGCAGAATGTTTTTGGCATAAGCACCTTCTCCAAGGGAGTAAATAGTGGTGCACCACATACAGAGAGATATTGCTAGAGATAGCACTGTCAGACCTGCAGAGCCTGTAATAGACAGCACTGGTTTGCGAATCCAGTGTTTATGCATGTTTTTGTTTTAATGTTTGGTTTAATCTTATTCTTGAGAAATGCACAGTGTTGTTTGGCTCATGTCTATTTTCTGTTGTTGTTCATTTGGCTCAGTGGAATTAAACAAGTACCTAAATCGCAACAAGAATAACTCTAATTTTGACTACAGAGTTGCTGACTCTCAGAATGTTCAATATTTTTGATCCTATGCATGTTAAACAACACCTCTTTAATTTTCACAGCTTTATTACTGTTCAGGTTTGTGATACTATAAAAACATCTCACCCTAAACAGTTCAGACTGAGCCATGGAAGGAGTTCGTTACAAGACAACTGTGCTTCACCACCACTGGGAACTGAAGTCATAGGATGCTTCATGACCTGCACAAAATAAGTCAACCATTATTGAGAAGCTGAATAGGCTTTTGTAAGAGGAAGGCCAAATCCCCCTACGGAATGGCTGAGGGAGGAAAAAATACAATCCACACACACTGGTAAAAAAAAGTCAGACTGCTATTATGTACTAAAATTTAACACTGGATTAGGCTAGTTAAAGTCACACGAAAGAACACCTGCACCTCAAAAAGCACAGGATCACAATTACCCCTTGGCTAGATACATGGATACACTCAGGACAGAAAAATAAATTGTTACACTACCAAATTCTATAAGATTTCATATGAAGTATTGCATGGTGTTCACATTTCCTTGGGTGTCCAACTCCTCTAAGCTCCTCTGTGCTTTGATCTCTGTCATTTTTTAAACTGCAGACAATAAGTTGTCACTAAAAATACTTTCAGAAAAGTGAATGAGCAGTATACTTTAAAAAAGTAAGATGGCTATAACTTCATTTTAAAAGGGGAATACTCTGCTCCAAATACTTTTAAATCATGAACCTCAGAGATGAAGCTCTCATGGAATTTTTATATCAGAATTTCCCCCCAACACTTCAAGCTGTACATAGACATTACGAAAATGAATGCAAATTACTCTGTGCCTAATAAATGAAACAATTTACTGTGTTTTAGCCAAATGCAATATAATTTAATCAACTGGATACCTTTAATAAATGATATTTACTTGTATATTTGCTTTCTGCAGCAAGCTGGGACTCAAGATGAAAGTATTTTCTTCAGTGTCTGGAGAAGTGATTATACTAAGGACAAAGTCCTCCATGCCTTTCAAAACACAATGGACACATTAACTTGCTTGCAATTTTAGGACTGTGTAACATACACTGAATTAATCAAATATAGTGCAAAC